AATGGATCTTCTAATTTAGTTTTGGAAGAAGAGAAGAGGTGAACAATCATCGGTGTTATGTTATCTTTGCAAGAATCAGAACCCGAAGTTTACACTGACGAGATCATAAAAGAAACTATAAAGGTAGCTACTAAAAATCAATGTTTTTGCTTCATTGATCTTTCACTTTATAGATTTACTATGAATGCATCATTGAAGTGATCATTGTTTGGCCTGAAAAAAGCTGACATCGGTTCCGATAGAACCGGATGGGCGTGTCAGGAACTATAGTAGTTCCAAAGAGAGATCCAAACAATATTCCAGAAGGAAGACTGCGAGACCAGGCGATGGTGAAGAGGTCTGGAATGAACACCTCTGGGTTCTTGCATTTGATAAAGGACTTCAGGATTATTAACTGGCTAGGAAGAACTATGTTACCTATGAAAATAAAGGAATTATCTAATGACAAGTAAAGTGCATGACTGAAACTAATCATATTGAAAATGCATAGCAATGAAAATAAAGATTGTATTGAAATGCGTGCTTTGTTTGGTGTTGAGCAAGCCTATTCCGTTACAACATAATAACCTATTTATAGAATGAAAATATAAGCAGTTAACATAACAGTTCTGAGCAGTTCCATTGATGCTTCCAAACGCTTCTAAGTGTCCAAGCCATGCAGTCGTGCCTTCCTGATCTTTCTAAAACTTCCACGTTCCTCTTCCACGTTCCAAACGTGCCTAGAACTCCCATGTAATCGTACCATTATGTGATCGTGCCATCACATGATGCTTCTAGAACTCCCACGTTCCAAATAACTTGGACCCGTGTTTTGATTTTCTGGAACTTCCACGTTCCAACCATGCCATCACTAATGTAATCGTGCCTTTCAAGGCCTCTAGAGCTCCAATGTTCCAAACATGCAATTAATCATACAATCGTGTCCTTTGATGCCACTATCTCAAAAATGAATCACACAATTTTCTTTGTCTGAACAAATAACCATTACTCCTGATGGTGGTGGTAATGGCCTACGTTAAAAACTCCTTTGTTTTATCGTGGTTTTTTTAAGAAACTGTCTTCCATGTTTTTAGGCACATATATTCCACGTCTGAACATCCTTTGAGCGAGTCGTCTTGTTCCTACATGGCTTCTCCTATGATAGACTTCCATATAAGTTCAACTGTCAAATAAATCTCATACCTATGCCCCACGTGTCCTATTTTAATTGGAGAAGTTGTTTTAAGCAAAAACTATCAGCCACTTCTAATTGAAATTCCTTGAGTTCAGTCTTGACCCAAACTCCTTCATATATCACAAACCGGCTTAGTTTAAAATTCCTTCCACGTGTGTATTTTCCGTTTGGGGAAAATAAGGGTGTAAACATTGCCCCTCTAAATTCTTTGCCTTTGTTTGCATAAAAAAGGCATGGAATTTAAATGACCCATTTATTTCTTTTGGCTTTTGACATTGACAAATAAATCTTCAATTTCTTGGACCCACCAAAATTCTTTTCTTGAAAGAAACTAATTCCTTCTGAATTGAAAGGGATAAACTGAGCCGTTCCTTGGGAACTCATCCATTCCTGAACCGGCATATAAGACCTCATCGTTAAATGGACCCACCAAATCCATTTTTGAAAAGAAACTAACCCCTTGTAAATTGGAAGGGCAACTTATCCGTCTTCCATCTTGAACTAGTTTTCCAGGTATCATAAATGAATGGACCTACCAAATCTTACTTATTTAACGAAAAGAATAATTGCTAGATCTTGAAAAGGCAAGTCAGTCGCCTTTTGTATCTATCCAATTAAATCTCGATAAGTACTTACCTTCCTCAACCGTTCAAATCTCCTCGGTTTGTTCAGCTTTTGAATTTTGAAAATCTTTCTATCTTTTCATATATATCAACAAATTTGATCCATAAATATCCACTTCAGTTCACATAACCTCCCATATCTTCTTCTCTTTCAATCTCCACTAATCTAAACCTTAATTTTCCTCATAATGGCTCCAAAACAGAAACGGCTAACCAGGTCCACCACGAGTTCAATTGTGCCTGTTTCTTCTTCTTATCAAACCAAAACTCATAGCCATAGCCACTTAGTCTAAAAAATTCTAAAGTTAGTACTTGAATCAGAGATCACCTTTGATTTTTTCCATTGCGTAGGTCCTTTGAATGGGCTAGGGCCGGCTCTATTGAATGACTTTCCTTCATCTTTATCCAAATTTTACCCTGTAGTAGAGAATGATCTTCCATTTAATTAGGAGTACCCGTTGATCCTTGTCAAAGGAAAAAAGGTGAAACCTACTATTTCTCTCAAGAACTGGCCAAGATGATGTCCATTATAGAAATCATAGGTTAATCGTCTCTCTAGTGATGATAAGATTGCCTCCACTTGGAAAAGGCAAGGTATTTTCGATGCCATTCAACTGAGCAAGGTATCAATGATTCAAGACAAGAACCTACTTTTCCTGTTGTCTTTTTCTGGTCTAACGTGACTAACTCTTTACATCTCCTAAATGAAATGATGTCTGTCACAATGAGAGACATTTGCTGTATAACTGGTTTGAAACCTCATGGAGATGACATCAGTGCCTTGCTACATGTAGGTTATTTCAGTTTTCCCTCCTTTGAGAATGGAAACAAGAAATTCTATTATTCTCCTGTCACTTTCATGGAATACCACAACAAAAAGATTGGCCCGTTGCAATGAAAGAGCTTATTGCCTTCTTGATTTGCTGGCTCTTTGGACACCTATTTTGTGTTCTTTCTGGATAAGTCACTAAAGATTTCATCCAGATTGCCGTTGCTCTTGCCAAAGGTGCAGACTTGGCCCTTGTTCCTTTAGTTCTTTCTCACTTGTATCGCGGAATCAATGATCTCTTAGAGTTTAATTTCACTCGCTTTGGCGGCCCATTCTAGATTTTCCAGGTGTGGCTAAAAATATATTTTCTAAGCTTGACTACTCCCATTTCTGTTCAATCGAAAAAATCTCTTTTATCTTATAGTTTTGTTAAAAGCAGACCCACCCCTTTCTCTTTTACAGAAGTATTTTGTTTCTTCTATGACCATAATGAGTTCACGCCAAACTCATCCTTAGATCCCTTTTCCACTTATGGAATGATGCCTTCTTGGCTTGTACCTTATTCTGGAGTTTCAACTAAAAAGTCCTCTGATGATTGGAAGAAAATTTGGGCAAGCTTTTTAATCTGTCATGATTTGCACTATTGAACTTCCACTCCAACTTCAAAGAATAGTCGTTGTGGGGTTGAATATTACAATCCAGCTCAATTGGCTAGACAACTTGGCTTGACACAACTTATTCCTTTGCCCCCTTTTGAATCGGCTAATAGACTCTTTAACACAAGAGTTAGATTTACCGAGAATGAACAATTCTAAGCAGTGGATGAAAAATATGCCCTGAAGAAAAATTCTTTTGAATTTGAAGGCTTCAATAGTTGCCCAGAGGTAACCCAAAAGTTCATTGATTAGTGGACTGCTTATGCCAACTTAACCAGAAAATTGGCTTATGTAGAAGTTTACAACAGGCTTTTGAACTTCTTTAAGCCTATCACACCAAGTCGTGAAGAAACATTCTCTGATGGTAAGCTTTCCACACTCTGAGTCTTTCCAAACTAATCACATGTAATCTGTTAATGAAACATCCTCTCTTTTAACAGACAATGATGACGATGATGCTGATAGAAAGGATAAGGATCCTACCAGCAAGGAAGGAAAAGTTGAATTGACTGCAGAAGTCGAAGGTATTGAAGGAGGTAGGGATAGTAATCCTAAAGGCTCTGGTGGTGACAAGCCTCTTGGAAGTGACAAAGGGATGGCCCTTATGAAGGTTAAGAGAGAAAAATTGTAAGAAGATGAGCTCTATAAAGCAAAAGGAAAAAAGAAAGTTGCTCCCTCTTCCTAGGTATTTTATAAATACCCTCTTAGTTAGCATTAACATTTTTTCAATCTTTTTCTTACTGACTTCTACTAGACTTTTCTACTTGACAGACCCTAGCTATTGCCAAGAAAAGTATATACCTCCCATCACTTTGTCTAGTGAGGATGACTCCTCTACCGCTTCTGAAAAAAGTACTTCAAAGAGGATTTCTTTAATGAAAACTTTCGCCAAGTCCATAAAACATGCAAGTCCACTTGACCAAGATCGTCCCTTGAAAAGTAAAAGGAAACTCCTTGTAGACCCCGAACCAAATGAAGAGTCTGATTGTAATGACCCGGTCATTTTCTTCCTTTTCCCTTTTTCTTCAAATTTTGCGGATAATTTTTTTTTTTCATTATCTTTTCCTTTTCAGGTTCGATTTCCCGCCTCTTAGTGTCGTCTCGAGTGCTCGAAAATGGTTTCTGAGACTCTTTCCTTTGGATTGACAACTTCCTTTGAGGACCGAGTCATTTCCACATTTTTTTTTGTTTTTTGACACTATTCATTTTTCGTCTTTTCCTTATTTCGTCCTCTTCTCGTTTTTCACTTTTACTTGCATAACCTCATTTTTTGTGCTCAGATTTGATTTCGATTTTGCATACGTTCAAGATATTTAAATTCCATGACATCTACATTTTTACTTTTGTAGAAATGCATATTAAATGCTTACTTTCTTTGTAAAAGCCATGAAAACAAGACTTTTTGCAATTATCCATAACTTGAGGGGTTTTTGGGTAATTAAGTAAAGTAATTATTTTTCGTCTTAGGGACCATTTTGTAAATTAAATTGAAAGATATTTTCAAAAAGGACTCTTTTTGCAATTTTCGAAAAATATGACAAGTGTCACATTCCTATGGTGCCACTTGTTGATTTTGTGGTGGAACCACTTGGAGGCTTAATCTCATGACACATGGAGGGTGGAGATTCACCCACTTGTTGTCCTAGGATTGGTGCACTTGTTGGCATGGATGGTGGACAATTGTAGGGTTAATATTTAATCTTGGAAGCTTACTTGGATTTATGACAAGTGTAGGACTTACCTTTAGTCTTGCATTAGTGTGTGTGTAAGAGGTAGTGCAAGAGCACCTAGTGAGTGGAGAAGCCCACCAATTTAGCTTAGGGTTTACACATTTTAATTCATTCATCACTTTCCTCTCAAGAACCCTAAGGAAGCCACCATTGGAGAAAAGCTTGACTAGTAGCTTTGACTTCATTTTTGGTGCCCTTTCACTCACCTTAGAACTTTGAACTTGGAATACTTTTTGTTCCCCTCATCCTCCTCTTCAAAACCCTTGAAGGATCTAGCCTAACTCCTAGTTTTACTTTGGTATCTAGAGATTCAATTCTCTAGTGAGGTATTGATCTATTATTTTGAAGTATTTTTATGTCATTATTGAGTGTTTTACATGTATGGAAGAGAAGGACTTGTATTTTGCCATTAAACTGTTTTAACTTGAAATTAATCTTATCAAATTAAATATAGAATATGAAAATATACTCAATTAGATTTCATTTAGTTTTGGTTTCATGTAATTTGGATTTAAAATGAATTAGTTATGAATTTTTGAAGTTGCAAGCTAGTTGCTGGAAATTTGAAGCTTTTCCTTTTTGGTCCGGAAATGAATTTTTATATGGAGCTGTGGTGCTTCAATTGCCTTAAAATTTTTACTGGAACTTCTCCCATGGGTTTTACACTACCCAGAATTTTTTCACGATTTTAAAGTATTTCTAATTTTTTTTAAAAATCCAAAACTATTTGCTATCCATGTTTTTATTGTAGCTGGAAAACATATTTTTAGATGATTTATTTCACTAACCTTTTGAGATTGGATCATGGCTTAAATTTTCAGTTTTACACTCTTATATGTTTACTTCCAAAATAAATTAGGGTTGCCCAATTTGGATGTCAAATGAATTTTTCATGAATTTTCAAAGTTGGAAGCTACAGGCTAAAAATGTGTTTTTTGGGCAGAATTTGTTTCAAAGTTGTGGGTCAAAACTGTTTCAATTGGGAAAATATTTTGTGAAACTAAATTGATATTATCAAATTACAGTGTTTAAACTTTCATCGTGCTTTGGATTCATTCAATTTGGTTTAGAATTAAATTTTTTATGAATTTTACAAGTTGAAGGTAGCAAGCTGAAAAATCTGTTTTGCGGACCGAAAATTTGGGGCGATTTCATTTCGGTGGTAATTGGGATTTTCATTCCAATAGAGGTAGGGAATGTTTTAGGATTATTTGTGTGTTGTATTGTGTGTTTGCCATGATTATACAACATATATGTATGCCTTGTATCAAATCTAGAAAGTTAGTAATTTTTATTTCTTTGTATAAGATTTAAAATTTATAATGATGTATAACTTTGATTTGAACTGTAACATGCTAGGAAATTATACTTAGATATGTTGGTTAACATATATTAAATTTGGATCATTTGATTAAGAATTACAAGTTTTATTTAATATTTATCTTTAGTGAAAGTTTAATTCACATGGTTGTATCAAGCGTTAAATCAAGTTGTAATGTGGTATTTAAATAGGCCTTGGCATGTTCTCTAACATAGATTAAATTGAGGGTATTTGGAATTGTTTAAAAATCTAGAGGAAATTAATTAATTAGCTTGATTAATTTTGTTTTAAGTGTTTTAATCACTTAACTTGTCAGTTGACGTTATATATATGATGACCATGACATGTCTTTCAATATATATTAAATTGAGATTATTTGGATTAACTTGGAATTTAGAGAATTTAACTATTTATGTTTAATTAAATTCTACTTTATTACTCCATGGATTTAATTGCATTTGGGAAGTTGTTTCTATATTTAAATCATGGATTTGGATTTGATGTATGTTCACTTGATTACTTTTGAGCATTGGATAACATAGTTGTTACTTTTATATTCATGAGAATATGTTTTTCCTTATTGAATATATTGTTGCTATGTGTAAGGAATTGCACACTTTGTGTTTGACATCTTACATGCCATAGTACTTGTGAATTTTGAGCATGTATTGTATAAGTTTCCAAAATTTGGATTGTGCTTGGTAAATAGTTGATATCTTGTATATACATGTTGATATATATACGTTGTTGCACAATTTGTTGATTTTGGAAACTTGGGGATGTCGTTGTTTGGCTACGGCTAGGACTTGGTTCTAGTACGGGGGATTGTCCCTCTATATAGTCTAGTGCGCACATAGGGAGGTTACCCATTGGCTAGTAACCCTAAAGTAACTATGTTGTCGGCCTGATCCGGCGTGACGTCCGAGTATCCACTTTATTTGATTTTGTATTTCATTTCAAGTTGATAACTAGATGATATCGTAACTTGTTGTTCCTTATTTGATTTCCTATTTTTAGCTTAAGATGTAGCTTTGTGAAAGCATGCTTCATGCGTTGTATTGGAAGTTCCATTGTTGGCTAAATTGCATCGATATCATAATTTGTGTTTTGATGTTCAAATGTAGTTTAGGAATGACCTTATAGATTCATTTTGAACATAGACGTTAGGTGGCATGACCCACACTTGTTGTTTTCGTATTTTGGATTTCAAGTTGAAGACTTTGAGAATCTATATCTTGTTGCCTTGTATACCATGTTTCCATGTTGTTTGAATTGCATGAACAATGTGATTATGATAGAAATGATCTAGATAACTTAGGATGCTCCCTGGGTCTCATCCTGACATAGACGTTATGTGGCATGAGCCCCTTTAACATGTTTCACCATAAGGTGATAAAATTGTAAAATGCTAGGTCGATGCATGCTCATCTCCTACGAGTAGCTTTATGTTACTCACCCCTACGATACTGGGGCATATTTCAGGTACAGGACTCAAGATTTGAAGATTCCATTGCTCCTTGGATGGCTTACAGTTTCTAAGTTTCTATTTTATGCAAGTGTTAGCATAAGATGCCTCTTTGTAGCCCTATTTGTTTAAACTTGTATTCGTTGATTCGTATATGTATAGTGTACGTAAGTGCACTCTTTTCAATGTATTTAGCATGTATGAGATGAGGTCGGAGGCCAATGACATGTATCTCGTTTTCTATGCACTTTTGTTTTCAAAGTTTATCATGAAAATATTGGAAAATGTTAAGTCATTGCTTCATAACTTTCGCATCGGGTGTTGGAATTTCATATCTTTTCTGTCCGGACTCAGAATCAGACGATTCTTGAGTCTAATTTTGTTCATTTTTCGTTGTCCTTCCAATGGTGTGTATGGTGGCACCCTTTTCAGTGAGAAATGACCATTTTGCCCTTAGTTTATCTCTTTTCGGGTTAGGCATTCTTGCTTCATTTGCTTGGCTCATTTGAGTTCCGTGGCTTCATGGAGAGTCATTTTGGGGCCTTAGGGATGATGTACATCTCTTGAGGTCATTTGGCTTCTTTCGCTTCCGCATTTCGGGTCCGTTATCGGGTCAACTTCCGATTCATCACTAACGCACCGGGTTGAGAAATCTGGGTCGTTACAGGTGGTATCAGAGCTCCTAGGTTTGAATACCTTGGATGACTGGTTTTGGGTGCATATCATGCTTATGTTGCCATACTCTATGTGTTTATATGCTTCATGATAACATGTTTTGGTTTGATAACATGTTTATGTGCTTACGTGCTATATATAGTATGCCATTTGTTTAACATGATTTAATTATTATGTAATGAGCATGACATATGATGTATTCTAGATCAGATTTGTATATGCATAATTGTGTTGCATATTTGGCATGACACGAGATTGGTCATTGAGGCTCGAGTTGAGGTTGATGGTGATTGTAGTCACGGTTGTGTTGTAGTTTAGGTTGTTATTGACCTAGAGTTGGTTTTGAGGTAGGTGGAGAGACACCTTTTGTTTAGGCTCTCGTGGGGTGAGCCATTAGGCACAACCGTAGTACTGGATTTGTTGATTTTAGGCCATGGTTAGGTTTTGGACCTTTTGGGATCCTTGGTTGTTTTGGAAGGTTCCTCTGAGATTGTAATTTTTGTGGGCGGGTACGTTGTGGGCGGGTGCATGGCACTGTCATACTACCGTACTGGCAAGCTACGAGTGTAGTTCGGATGGAATCAGCGTTAGGTTTTGTTCCGACATGTGTAGTCCTTTTGATCGATAATGATGATGGTTGTTTTGGGGATCAGTCGCAGTGATCGATTTGGTTGTCTGATTGTATGGCTAGAGTTGCCATTTCCTTTGAGTTTTCCCTGCGCGATGACGCTTTTGGGGTCAAGTCGATTGATAGATACTTCGGGTAGAGAGAGCATTGCATTGTTAGTGTCACTTGTAGTGTCACCCTTAGATTCAGAGATGGATTGTAAGAGTCTTACCATTGTGGTAAGGGCTCACGTTTGTTTTGAGACAGGTTGTTGTTGCATTGGTTTTTGGAGTCAGTGTATGGCTAGGACTGGTCCTTCCTTTTTACCTAGGCACTCTAGGACACGATGTCCATAGGGTTCATTGTTGCATCACTTTTGTTTTCTGCAGTTTTATTTACTACCATGTTAGTAGTATGATTTATGATATTGTGATGCATGAGTAGGTGGAGGTCTATCCACGTTTGCCTTCTTATTGTGTGGCAATAGCATGCCTTTCTTATATGCTTCGAGATGTCATGTTGTTACTGCGTTTTAATGACATGCTTTTGTGTTTATGTGGAGACGTGCAGCATGTGCTTTTGATTTTCATCTATGTAAGTAGATTTTCTTTCTGGTAGTTACATTCCTTGTCATATGCATGACTTTCAGGTTTGGTTTTCCCATTCGTTTCCCTTGGTCACACGTAGTCTGTATGCGGGTTTCCACAATGGTTTTGTGCTGGTTCGTGTTAGGGACTTCACAAGGAGTGAGTCTCTTCCCTCCGTTGTGTTGTGCACTGTTTTGGGGTTAGTGGGTCCATGAGGATCATCGTTGTTGTCTTGAGTCCTTGGTAAGGATTTGATAGATTTTGGTTGACTTACTTCCATGTAGGGGGTGAAGTCGTTGACTTTGTTGTCTTTCATTTCAGAGATGGAGTCGTGGTGTTGTCCTTTTTAGGACTGGTGGTCCCCTTTCTTTCGTGTCTTCCCTTGGGGAGTTCCTATCGTGGTTGTTGACGGTTGTGGTGCTCAAGTGAGTTGATTGATGTGAGATCATTTTACAGAGACTTATGTCCATATCTTTAAGGATTATTTGATTTGTGAGGTGAGCTCGATGCTCTTTTGAGAACGTCTTTTGGAGACTTGTTCCAGTTTTGGAGGCCTGGATGTGGTTGACTCTTAGCAGGAGTTTTGGAGGATCTTTATTGGATATGGCTTGCTTGTGGAGTTTTCTCGTCCTAGTTATGACTAGGCATAGTTTTGAGGAATTGTAGTTCCAGTGATTGATTGTGAATTGATGCCAAGCACGGTTTTGAGAGATTCATTTTGTGACTTTGGTTGTCAGGACTTGATGTGTGTACTACTTAGTGGACTTGTATTTCGAGGATTTGGTCACCCGTAGTAGGGATTGTGATCCGATGTTTGATTTCGGTGTGGTTTCGTAGTTGATCTGTTTCATGATGATATCTGGGATTTCGGAGATGATGTTTTGTTTGTTAGGCTTTGGATTCGTGATTTAGGTTGTTAACAGGAGTATTTTGAGGCGTTGGAGTTATTGGTTTTGTTGTATTGAGGACTTAGGTACTTAAGCTTAGCGGTGCCTGTGACATTGTTGTTAGAGTTTTGGGATTAGCTACCCCAACTCTCACAAGATGACTGGTTCCCATAGTGCTTTTGGTAACGATGATTCACGACATTCATGTCATTTGTATCGAGAGGTTTCATGGGTAGACCTAGTGGGGGGCAGGTTATGAATTAGTGCCTTATACTGTCATGCTATCTTATTGACGAGTAAGTGTGGGCAGGTTCTGGTCGCTATTCGTACTGCCACGTTGTCCTTGTTTTGTACTTTGATTTGATCTGTGATGATCTTGGAGTTCTATTTGGGTTATTTTTGGATCGGTATGATGGTTCATCAGGAGAAATGCTTACGGTTGTTGTCTTTCGTTCCTTTGTCTGGCGTTGGGTTCTGTGAGTGACCTTTGACTTGTCGTGTGGCCGTGCGGTCATTTTTCTTTTGAGAGGTTGTCCAGTGGTAAGCACGTGGGTGCAAATGTCATTGGCTTGAGCGTTGTCTTTTAGCCTTGGGGTTGTTTTCGCTGCATGTTGTTTGGGGTACTCGGAGATGTACTTCGTAGTTAT